ACCGTCTTATCAGTCAATAGATCGTAAGAGCCTTTTCATTATAAAATTATAAAACTTTGTAACAAACTTATGTATTATTATCCATTTCATTTTTTTAGGAAATAAAGAGTTTTCTGCATTCTCTGCATTATCGGTTTTGATTTGCTGCTATCCGACAACAAGATTGTCCTACATCATATTGGATCGTAGAAAGCTCTAAATTGCGATTTTCAGGACTAATCAGAAAATTAAAAAAGAATGAATGAATCATTATGAAAATTGTAAAAGGATAATTGTACATGCGTATTTTGGCGTTAAAGCTTGGAGATGAATATGATAGATGCTTTGTATACTATAGTAGAAGCCAGGAAAATTCTTTATTTATATAATTCGAATATAAAATGATCACCATGGATGTTTTGAAAGGTTTAAAATAAATTAGGTTCACTGATAGAGAACTTGAATATAAAACTATAAAAATAAAAGTTTATTGATGCAGATCCAGGGAATAGAAAAGTTCTGATAGAATCATCAACTTAACCAATCAAATTTTAGGGTGAGAGGAGTGAGAGAGGAAACTTGGACTTTCAAAATTGTTATTGTCCCTAGCAAGAATACCGCAGGAAGACAGGGAGGATGTCAGGCAGGAAGACATGCAAGAAGACAGGCAGGAAGACAGGCAGGAAGACAGGCAGGAATACAGGCAGGAAGACAGACAGGAAGACAGACAGGAAGACAGGCAGGAAGACAGGCAGGAAGTCAGGCAGGAAGATAGGCAAGAACACCACAGGAAGACAGGCAGGAAGACAGGCAGGAAGACAGGCAGGAAAACAGACAGGAAGGCAGACAGGAAGACAGGTAGGAAGACAGGCAGGAAGACAGGCAGGAAGAGAGGAAGGAAGAAAGGCAGGTAGGCAGGATCATTTCAAATTAGATAGAATTACCGGAAGGCAGTCAGGATACATTTTCATTAGATAGAATATTGCAGGAAGGAAGGAAGGACATATTTTAATAGATAGGATATTGCAGGAAGGAAGGAAGGATATATTTTAATAGATAGAATACCATGCAGAAAGGGAGGAAGGATACATTTTAAGAGATAGAATATTGCAGGAAGGAAGGAAGGATATATTTTAATAGATATATTATTACAGGAAGGCAGGAAAGATACCCTTTAATAGATAGAATACTGCAGGAATGCAGGGAGAATACAATTTAATAGAAAGAATACTACAGGTAGGCATGAAGGATTCATTTTAATAGATAGAATACTGCAGGAAGGAAGGAAGGATACAATTTAATAGATAGAATATTGCAGGAAGGCAGGTTGGATACATTTTGATAAAGAAGAATTTTGGACAAGGGCAGGAAGGACTCATTTTAATTAGATAGAATACTACAGGAAGGAAGGTAGGATATATTTTAATTAGATAGAATACTACAGGAAGGCATGTAGGATACATTTTAATTAGATAGAATCCTACAGGAAGGCAGGTAGGACACATTATAATTATCAATCTGCTTATTTATTTGCTTCATCTCCCACCATTTCACCTTTTCAAAGAAGAAATTTCAACGAAATAGTCTAGAGTTTAGCCCTTCCTCCCCTCCCCCAACCCAACAACCAAAATACCCCCCCATAAATTAACAAACACTGTTCTGTAGAGGAACATTAATATTATGAGAGCAGGAAGTAAAGTTTAATTGAAAATAGTTTAAAAGATATTTTTACAAAGTTTTCAAGTAAGCTCCGTTATACATTTTAAGGTTGGGTTAGGAACATTAGGAACCTTTCGAAACTTAAAAACCTTCTTCTTTCTTCATAGTGCTGAAAAATTATCCATCCTTTTTACAATTTAATTGAAGGAATGTATGTTATTCTTATCAACTATTTGAACATACTAGGCTTCCAGGCCGCTTCGATCGCCCATTCGAGATTTTAACCTGTAATTTTCTCTTCTTATTACAGCTCGAGAACCAAAAATATCTGGAAGAGGAGGACGACTTTTAGATTTAACAAATCACGAACAAAACTATTCGCATTGAAACATCAAATACTCTTGATTAATTCCTCAATGCCAATTCAATAACAAACTTAATAAAAGAAATCGTGGATTTATCGATTTTTTTTAGTGGATTTTGAAACCTCTGTATTTTCAAGGCAGATTTTTTTCTTCTGTCTATCCATAAATTAACCTTCCCTGGCCGGTCATATGATGTCCCACAATTGAATGATAGTTATATGAACCTATAAAGTAAGTGTAAATAAACGTCTGTCCGAATAAACGTTGGTTTGATGGTGCCGTATATTCCGACCTAGATGATTCTAACCTAAAGGTTTTCTGACCTAAATATCGAGTAGTTTGCACGTGTTTTAGGTCGGTTTGGTTGAAAAAAGCTTTAGGTACGTTTGACATACTATGAGAAATATATAGGTTTTCCGACCTAAGATTTAGAGATATATTTATAGTTGGTTGAGCATATATATTAGGTCTGTTTACCAGGAAGGTTAAGTCGGATTAGTGACAATTTTAGGTCTGTTAAGCAATATATATTTTTAGGTTGGTTGAGCAATATTCTTAGGTCGGATGAGCAATATTTTTAGGTCGGATGAGCAATATTTTTAGGTCGGATGAGCAATTTTTTTAGGTCGGATGAGCAATATTTTTAGGTCGGATGAGCAATTTTTTTAGGTCGGATGAGCAATATTCTTAGGTCGGATGAGCAATATTTTTAGGTCGGATGAGCAATTTTTNTATTGCTCATCCGACCTAAAAATATTGCTTAACCGACCTAAAAATATTGCTTAACCGACCTAAAAATATTGCTCATCCAATCTAAAAATATTGCTCATCCGACCTAAAAATATTGCTCAACCGACCTAAATATATTGCTCAACTGACCTAATAAAATTGCTCAACCGAACTAAAAAAATTTCTCAACTGACCTAAAAATATTTCTCATCCAACCTTAAAATATTGCTCAACCGACCTAAAAATATTGCTCATCCGACCTAAAAATATTGCTCATCCGACCTAAAAATATTGCTCAACCGACCTAAAAAATATTGCTCAACCGACCTAAAATGAATGCTTATCTAACCTAAAATTGTTGCTTTAACCAACCTAAAATATATTCCCAACTGACCTAAAATATATCAATAACCGACCTAAATATATTTCCAATCTTATAGGTCAGTTTGGGACATTTCGCTAATCGAACCTACAGATTTTTAGGTCGGAAAAACGTTAGGTCAGAAAAACGTTAGGTCAGAAAAACGTTAGGTCAGAAAAACGTTAGGTTCGTTTCCTCTAGTTAATACGACTTCCAATACAAAAGCCAAAATACGAAGACGATTTTCCCGGTTAATTCTTAAAATTGTCCGCGGCAGCTGGAGCATCACATTGCGCACAATAACAATCTTACTAGTAAATAATTTTTATCAACGAGAAAAAATTCAACTTCAATATTATGAATAAATATAAAAAGCGTAAAAATATATACAGGAATGTACGAATTTGTGTAAGAACGTGCTTATCCTAGTAAATAATAACGGATAAAGACCCAAAGCGGTCAGCGGCGGAATTTTTGAAGGTGTTTGATTTTGGTTGTTCTGAGACGTCCATCAGTTTAAGCTGGATTAAAAACCATTCAATAGTCGACCACTCAAAAATAAACCTTTAAAGATTGTCGTTAAGTGATCAAATAAGCGTTTAACTCTCTTTTTCATTAGTTGTGTGACATGCTTTTAAAGTTTAATTGTTTACTTTGAAGGGAAAAGTTTGAACGCACTGTTCGTTATATTTCTTTGTCACGTCGCTTTCAGCATTAAGTATATTTTAGAAAGGTTTGAGCGATTAAGCACTGCGGCTATGTTCTCTTATCCAAACAACATAAATAAGTTTTGAATAGACAAAGAAAGTCAATAGAATTTGATTTATGCTAAAGAGCGCTTTTTGGACCAAAAAATTGCTTCATCGGGTAATTTCCTAGTATACGATTTTTGAACACCCCACCTGCCCCACCCCCCCTATCAATTTTGTACATGGATCTTACAGAAAGTGTCTTAACTTAACCTAACCCGTGGCCGCAGCGCTCGGCCCCCTAGCCTCTCCTAGCCGCAGCGCTCGGCCCAGAAAGTGTCTTAACTAACCTAACCCGTGGCCGCAGCGCTCGGCCCCCTAGCCCATCCTAGCCGCAGCGCTCGGCCCAGAAAGTGTCTTAACTAACCTAACCCGTGGCCGCAGCGCTCGGCCCCCTAGCCTCTCCTAGCCGCAGCGCTCGGCCCAGAAAGTGTCTTAACTAACCTAACCCGTGGCCGCAGCGCTCGGCCCCCTAGCCCATCCTAGCCGCAGCGCTCGGCCCAGAAAGTGTCTTAACCAAACCTAACCCTAAATAATACTAAATAAATACTAATTTATTAATTTCGTCATGTACAAAATTGATAGAAGGGGGGGGGGGTCCAAAAATCGTTCACTAAGACAGACCCCATTATTGGACTGAAGGTCTGTAGTTTAAATGAATAATTTATTTAATTGTTAATTTTGTTTATTTGAACAAATTTATTTTTTCTTCTGTAAAATGTACCTCTCGACAATTTTAAAGCTTCATCACAAATACATACTTGAGTGTTAGACCAGGTTACGAAAATTTATGGGCCGAGCAATGAGGATAGGCTAGCCTAGGGCGCCAAGCGTTGCGACTGGTACAGGAAATGGAACTGCGCCGCAGCTAGGTTGGGTAATGGAACTCTGGTCTAATTGGCTACTAGTTTAATCAAAAGAAAAGCAGCTTAACATAACCTTTAAAATATGAAGTAAACAATAATTAAGTTTATGCTAAAAATACATGAAATCAAGGACCAAATAGATACGGGAACGGGTGGGGTCTTTGTAAGCGCTCTCAAGGACAAACTCTTGCACTGATCTAACTTGTTTCTGATATTTACCTTTTTCAAGATCTACTGTGATTGAGTTTGACGTAATAAATTTCTCTGACTCAAGGCTCAAAGAAATTCACTATCTAAACATATTTCAGAATAAAAATGTCCGATCCATGTCAACTGAAATGCAGGTTTTGTGAACAGGAGTTTAACAGCACCTACAAGGTCATCCCTCACATCTTCTTTGGTCATCACAAGAAGATTTTTAAGAGGATATCGAAGAAGGAGCAGTTAATGTATGAATGCCCTGGAGGATGTGATTTTAAGGTTTCGGTCTCAAAATATTTCAAGCCAGGTGAATATTGTCAAATCAGACCAGAAAGACGATTGTATCATACCAGACTGACATTTATTTAACCATATCTTCCAGCATTTTAATCAAGAATTATTTTACATCTTAGTATTGGTTTATTTCTCTAATGGGTGCTTGTTCACCGTTCAGTGGCACATATGTTCATGAAAAATTAACTCCACCTTGTCTTGCAGAACAAAGAAATTTGAACGAAGCATTATTTAGTGCATTACAAGATCTTGATTATTATTTTCTATTGTTAAGGTTGCAGTTCAGAGGAGTTGGTAAGCTCCCTGGTTCACTCTCTTGTAACCCTTGAGGAGCATCTTAACTCCGTCCACACCAAGGAGGATAAAACGGTGGTGTGCAGCTGCGGGTTCCAACTAAACAATACTATCTATTGGGAGCATCTACAGGAGCATATGGGAGCTGTTGTAGTATCAACAACTCCTAAAAAAGTTAAAGGTCAGGCTCAGTCAAGTTCCACTCCCAGACAACCTGGAAGCAAGACGGTGGAAACTCCAGACTCGCTTAAACCACCAGAAGCTTCAATTTCATCCATCACACCTGTCATAACTCCAGTTTTATCCGAAAAGTCCACTGAGCCAGCAATCCAAGAGATAAAATCTGTTGAAGCGGAAGTTAAACCGGACTTACCCTCTGTAGACTTGATTGAAAAGGTTGTCGCCTCTAGAACTGGTAATGAAGGTGACAAACCCACTGTGGATATGCCTGTTTCCAGCAAACCCACTTCTCATGAGGTTAACACTAATTCAAGTACTCCACCAGTCTCAGGAACCATAGGTTCTACTCTACCAAACCAGTTTGTCCCGGTTTCAGATCCTCGAGTAATTTCTCCTCCTTTGAAAACCGCAAAACTTCCTGGCGAGCTGGCCGCGTCAACCATACCGTTCAGTAGTTACTTCAAAAATAAGAAACCCGAAACCTCCATCGAACTGAAACCACCGGAACCCTCAATTGAACTAAAACCAGCTGAACCCTCAACCGAGCTTAAAGCACCTGAGCCCTCAAACGAATTAAAACCAACTGAAACTTCAACCGAACTGAAACCACCGGAACCTGTTGTACGCCGCCCTTCAGGAGAAAAACCTAAGATATCCTTGTCGGAGTACACTCAGCTTCACAAAATCCGTAGACATTCATCCGGGGATGGCTCCGATAAACTGGAGAAACCCGAGAAACCGGAACCTGTTCCAAGTTCAGTAACTAGACCCGTGATACCCGCCCCACTTGGAGCTTCCAATGAGAAACTAAGCGTGAAGGAAAGAAATGTATCTGGATCTGGGGATTTAAGATCAGAGGCAGAGAGAATGAACATTTCTTGGAAACAGGACAAGGAAAGAAGAAAGTCTGGTTCTGGAGACTATCCTGGAGAAAGTAAACCCAAACCTGAAATATCTCCCAGATTGGAACATGATATCATTAAGGGTAATATTGGACTCGGAGGGAAAGTTGTCGAACCAATGCGTCCTCCTACACCTCTAGATCGCCCTAGAACTCCATCAGTAAGTCCTAGTCCGGACGGTTCGCGTTCTACAACTCCCGGAGAAAGAATGTCACGTCCAACAACTCCTCTGGACAGACCTCTTTCAGCCTCTAGAAGAGGATCGTCAGACCAGAAACCTCGACGGCTTAGTGAAAACTATTACCCCAAGGAGAAACCTTCTAAACCTGATCTAACAGAGGAGATGGAACGCCAGATTATTTACGGTGGGTTTCTGAAAAAGCGAGGAAAAGGGAAACATGAGGAGTTGAGTTCAAACAACCAGGAAGAGCGGAAAGAAATGAAAAAGGAAGATTTTAATAAACCGGCTGCAGAGCAGGAAGTAAAGAATGAAGAGAAGGTTGAACCAGTAGAATTGAAAATGAAGGAGGAAGGACCTATTGAGGAGACTATTGAACAAAAACAGCAAAGAGAGCGTCGGGAGAAAAGGATTCAGGATGAAAAGGATAAACTGACAAGAGAGGAGAAGTTGGCTGCAGTAAGAAGAGAAATAGAAATGAGGTTCCAGGAAGAAGAGCTGAAGAGAATGCGGGATAAGGAAGTCACTAAGAAAAAGGAGAACGAACTACGCGAAAAGATCCGAATTGAAGAGGAAAAGTTAAGAAAGGAGAAAGAAAAGATCGTATCAGAAAAGAAGAGATTAAAGGCTGAGAAGAAGAGATCACGGAAATCTAAACACAAGCGACGAGATTCTGAAGTTGAAGTTGTTGATCTAGACGAGGAGGATGTTAGACCTGCGAAGGAAAGACGAAGAGAAAGTGTTGATGATGAGGAGAGTAAAGAAATGACTCCGGAGAATATTGAACCTGTCAAGGAGAAGGTTAAGAAGCAAGATCAGTACGAGATGCTGAAAATGAACTTCCTCTCACAACGCAAGCAGGCTATAGAGAATGAAATCAGGTATTTGAACAACTTCAACCGAAGAATTAGAATTTGATTTGAAATATTAAGAAAGAGGTTTTATTTGAGGCATTTCTTTATAGCTTTTCTTCTAATTTTATTTTATGATAGCTATTGAAATATAAATTGTTCATGATGTTCTCAAGGTTGTTAGAAAATGTTGAGAGTGAGAGTCCTCCTGGAGAGGATGGATCTGAGAGGCTGGGTGAAAAGACTGAAGAACCCGAGAATGTAGAAGATGAGGAGGATGATCTTGAAGCTATGATGAGAGAGTACAGAGAGAAGGAGATGTTAGCTGTCCCTGAAATGGCTCCGGCACCAGAGAAAGTTGAAGAATCAGAGAAGCAGAGCAGTTTATCATTCCTCATGGATAGTTACGGAGGAGGAAAGAAAAGGTAATTAGAAAATTATTTATCTTAAAGGGACTGTTGACGTTATTTCAATTGACATCTCCATCAAAAAGGTGCATCCCCGGATCTGAGCAACAATGAGGAAGAAAACGTCGTTTTTCTATTTCAAAAAGTGTTGAATTCTGACATTTTCTTTGTTTTAACTGTTACATAAATCCGCAAGTCGCTTTTCCAAGAAACCTCAATTTTAATTATCAATTAATAGCTTGAAAAACAAGGACATCTATAATATTTGGACTGAGACAAAGGTTGTAATGGTACTGTTGTGAATCGGACAAACTTCTCTATTAATTTTCCAAATTTATTTTTATATCTCTATTAATCAAAATCAATAATTTTCCTGCTAACATAGATCTGGAAGTGATTCCCCTGAAGCATCAAGAAAATCCACTGAAGTCCGTCCAACTTCTCTGGAGAAGACAATACCCAAAGGATTTGACGAGCTTGGAAATCCGCTAGACGAAATACACTCGTTCCCGACCGATTTCGACGAGTTCGGCAGAACAGTCGTAGCTGATCCTTCAGGTCGTCCAGTTCCGGCCGGGTTCGATGCCGACGGTCATCCTCTGGACGGTCCTAAGATCAAATCAGATCCAACGGTAATTGAAGACCCCCCCCCCCCCCCATCTTCTTTAATTTTTTTCGCATAGTATGTTATTAATTTTAGTTATGAGCGTCGCTTATAAAACTGGAAATAATTCAAGATTTTAAACATTTAAATCAAGTGAGTAAAAGGTAGTTGATATTTAGTACCTACAAAAGGGTTCTCTTCTATAATTGTGTTTAATATTTTTAATCTAAATCTTTTTTTTGTAGAGTGAAGCTATGCTTAGAGCCGCAAATATAGCTGCCATGGATATCATGGCTCCAGCGAAACAGAGTAGAGGTAAAGTTAATTCAATTATGTGACAAGAATGTTTGAATTTCATCAAGCCATCAAGGTTTTTTATTGATGATTTTATTTGTTTATGATTGATTTTTTTCCTGTCAATTACAGCTTTAAACTTTCTCACTGAATGATCAATCTAATTAACGAAACATGTAATTTATCATATGTTTCATCATACTCTTATGATCAGACATTGGCAATAAACTTATTTTCTAACTTTGATGAATGTTTTTTTTAATGATACCGCGGTAACCGCCGTTTGTTATTTCTGAGAACGGAATTTTAAAGTTTATTTTACTATGACTTTTTTCGGTATTATTTGTTGATTTGTAATTTGCTTTGATTGAATGATTGACTGACTATTGATTGACTGATTGATTGATTGATTAATTGGTTGATCGATTGATTGACTGATTGATTGCTTAAATATTTGATACTGGGGCCAGATATAGTTGAACAGCGTAGACTTAGTTGAACCATTTCTCCCCCCCCCCCTCTTTGAAAATATTTTGTACCTCCAGAAGTTAGTTGCGCCAAATTCAAATATTTCTTTAGGGTTTTAATCACTGAGTTAGAGAAATTAATCGATTTTTTAGGAAAACAAATAAATTTGTTAAGTAAAAAGTATAGAAAAGGATGAATGAACTTGCATTTTCTTGTCTAAGTTTTCCTTTCCCTCACAGATCTTCATAAAATATACAACCCGGTGTAAACTGAAGACCAGTGGTTCAACTAAATCTATGTAGTTCAACTTTGTCTCGCTATTTATAAAATCTGGTCACTAATTGATTGATTGTTTTAGAGTTGAAAGCTGCAAGACAGCTGCAGTGTAGTTTTTGTATGAAGGATGGAGCTCATGGAGTTGATTGATTTATGCTAATTGATTGAATGTTTTAGAGTTGAAAGCTGCTAGTCAGCTGCAATGTAGTTTATGAAAAGAGGATGGTGCTCAGTGAGTTGATTGATTGATTTATGCTAATTGATTGATTGAATGTTTTAGAGTTAAAAGCGAGTAGTCAGCTGCAATGTAGTTTATGAAAAGAGGATGGTGCTGAAGGAGTTGATTGATTGATTTATGCTAATTAACTAATTGATTGATTTTAGAGTTGAAAGCTGCTAGTCAGCTGCAGTGTAGCTTATGTAAGGAGGATGGTGCTCAAGGAGTTTATTATTCAGCATATACTCTTCTCTCTCACGTTTTCCTCATACACAGGTTTATACTCACATTTGCCAACATTTAGAGATTATGTACAGATGTTAAGGCTTGACTTTAAGGACAGATTTTATGATTTTTGATTTTTTAAGTTTTGAAAAAAAATCAATCTCCAACATAAGGCTCTTCATGGCCACACATGTGGCTCTCTTAGTGTACACAATACAAATATTCCAATTATATCATTATCCAAGTATATCCAAGTATATCCAAGTATATCCAAGTATATCCAAGTATATCCAAGTATATTAAGTACATCAAAGTACTTAGTGAACTTGCCCTTAAAATTGTTTTTCTCTTTTCTTCACTTTAAACTTACTGATTATGAATATATTTACTATTACACTGTATGAAAAAGAGGGGAAGTGGTATTACCACCTAAATCCTGTGACCGTGCCACTTAACAAGACGCATTACGCAAATAAACGTTTTAAATTACGGAGGTCGTAACAATAACACAATTTTGACGGGNATCAGATATAAATAATTTCCTCCCTGTGCTTAGGAAGAAGATTGTATCTCGGAGTCGGAAGGTTCGTGGCATGACTCTGGCTTGTCCGGAGGGGTGTGGATTCATCACTGATATGTCCAAGGTACGGAGAAAAAAGAAAACTTTCCAATTTTTTTTTTGGGGGGGGGTTGACTTTTAAATTTTTAAGATCTGCTTCAATTTGGCGTGAACGTTTTAAAAAAGGCTTTATATGTTTAAAGAAACTCAAAACAATGGCGTGGAATTCATCATTTTCATCTATTAATAGGACCGGTGTTTCTATCTTGTCGTTGCTACGAAAATATCTTTGTTAATTTTATTGAGAGTCGCAAATAATTTCATTATCAGTCCCTTAAAAATATTGATATATATTAATTTTAACAATTCTTTTATTCTTCCAGGAGCAGATTAGTATAGATTATTTTACTAACGTCCTACCCAGTCATCTGGAGGAGCTTAGTGAACATATCAGGTCAGTTCTCCATTTTTATGTTCGTACTGATATCAGACTTTTAACATCAATAAAAACTTTAATTTAAAGTTAGAACGCCCACCGGTTTTATCCTTGACGTTTTTCGCTGTGACATCTATATTCTAGAGGCCACATGAAGCTGACGTTTTTATTTGTGCCTTAATATTGTTTTCCTGTTGCTCTTATCGTTTGATTTCATAAGGATTAATTATTTCCTTAAAATTAATGTGTTTTACCCAAATCGACAAATAATTTCTTTAGTTTAAGCATTATTGATTTTTTTCTTCCTCTTTCGAAAAAATATTAATTATCAGTTTCTTTCTTTGACTCAACGAGTGTCCGATCATAATTCATAAACACTTGACCGAACTTGGTAGAACCACTGAAATGTTTTTAGACATGTTAAGAAAACTCCCGGCAAAGCTGGATTCCAAAGCTAGTATTTCAATAATATAATTATTCAAAGAATCATTTTAATTAAAAAAACCTTAGGATGTATTTTTATTACAAAAAAAGATAAGGAAAACAAGAAAAAATGTTATTTATAAAATAATAAAGATTTTGCTCAGGGATTGTCACACTGGAGAACCTAGGATGGAAACCTGTCAATACTGCTCTCTTCCTTTACAACATGAAGAAAGCTGGAGCTGGCAACATCTTGCTAATCATGGGTATTATTCAATATTCAATCATTCATTCACATATGCGCTAAAAAAGAGAAATTAGAATAACTGAAGAAATATTTACAATCTTGACCCGGATCCATGTTATACAGGATTTTCTCCTAGGATCCGGGCCAAAATTAAACTGATCCTAAGCACTAATATTTTATACTTTTTATTCATCATACAATACATTCATTTGAAAGGAAAAGTTAAATAGAATTTATTAAAATTTGTATTAGGGATGAGAGAAGGTTCTACTGTGATAGTTGTAATAACTTCCCCTTCAAGACGGAGGTACACAAGTGCCCTGGAACGGGTTTAGAAACATACTTCCCCTCTTCTCCGGGTCTGGAACCGAGTAGGAAGAGGAGGAGGAGTGAGGACGGGTTGGATGTGAGGAAAACTAAATCTCTTGAAGAACTAGCAAGGGAGGTGGAGACTGGAAACCTGGATATGGAGAAACTTGTGAAAAGGAAAAGAACAGCCAGATTTAATTAAATTTTTTCTTTAAAAAAATGACATTTCATTGAAAAAATTCTTAATTTTTGCTATCAATCGGAGATTTTTGATTTGCTGCAGTGGGACCTTTAAACCGTTAAATAGGAAGACGACAGTGGAAAATCTCGTATTCATATCCAGTAGCTTGAAAATAAACTACTACAAGGCGCAATTTCTCTGTTCAATATTCATTGGAATATTTGATATAATAACTTGTGTCTAACAGTCGTCATTCTATTTCACTGTTTTAATGCTGCCACCGTATGGAAACAGCTTCCTATCAGGCGCGTAGTGGAGGTTTAGCCTAGGGGGTGCACTTTTTTGTGTGCACCCCCCTAACGGTTGATGTGCAGTGTGCACCCCCCTAAAAAATCGGTATTAAGAAAAAAATAAAGTTTAAAATCTATATTAATCTACCTGAAGGCTGACTATTAGTTATCTGACCATAATTACTAAATATAATAAAATCTATTAGTAAAAGAGAAAAAACCTCTAGGGGGCGGTGCATGTCTAGGGGGGCACAAGGGTACCGGCCCACCCCCACTACGCACCTGCTTCCTATGAGGGAGCAAAAGTTTCAATGGAATTCGTTTTACATGGATATTAACAAAAATTTGAACTGTTCCTGTGTTAGTAAAAACCTGGGGAACATGGAACGATATCTGTGTGATACCTGCGATAGGTTCCTACCTTCCCTTTCACATTTATGCTTTTCCTCCCTTCTTCTTTTTAGCCTTAAAAGTTTAAAATAATTCATTTTCTCCATTTCATAACAAATATGGCATATGATATCCCAGCCACTGCTTACTGAGCTGGGAACTTTTTCCTTATTTCTCCAGCATAAACATTATACACTAAAGTTTTGAGTTTTAAGAATTGCTTTGTCTCCAGATTATCGGAAATTTAAATATTAACTCCTTTTGCTTTCATTTTATCTTATAAATAGTAATTGTTGAGATACAATCCTAGTTTAGGCAACTATTTTAGACATTCCACGGAAATATGAGTTTTCCGATATTTATCTTGATTCGAATTGTAATGGTGGTGAAGTAGATGTAACTTCAAGTAATCCTCCATGTAAAGATTGAAATGCTCGATTCACAATGGCACCCTTAAAAGCTTTGTCTGATAAAGTATGATTTAGAAGTCAATATTTATAATTTGGAAAACTGAGAATTTTCAATTGTGGTTTCTTTACAAAATTGACTTTCACATTTTACATTGCAGGAGAACATAGAGGAAGTATTAGAATCAGACACTTTAAAACTAGAAAAACGGAGCCCATACAAAACATATTGTCACTAAACTTATCACCTCAAAACGTATCACCACAACTTATCACCAAAAAACTTATTAAAACAAAACTTATCTAACAACAAAACTTATCAAAACAAACCTTATCATCACAAAACTTATCAAACTACAAAACCTATCAAACTACAAAACTTATCAACCTCCAAAACATATCATACTCAAAACTTATTAAAATAACTACAAAATTTATTTTTTTAAACATATTTAAACGTTGTACAACTGAAACTTGACTCAGAATTTATATATATAAATCATTATTCATCTGTAAATAGGCTGGCAATATTAAACAGATATGTGTTCAAGGGTACACTCAAAGCTTGCAAACATAGCTTTCAGGTCTTCTCTGTTATGTGACCTTTATATTTCATCATCCTTAAGTAAATTTGTACCCTTCTTAACAAAGTTAGCCCCCTCCATCTCAGAGAAAGAGGCTGGGAAACTGAGAGTTTACCGAATTTTCTCTTAAAAATTCGCTGACTTTTAAACAATTGTTGGAACATATCCATGATTTGAAAATATAGATTCATGAATTTTATTGATAAGTTTTGAGTTTGATACGTTTTGTAGTAAGATAAGTTTTGTAGTTGATAAGCTTTGTTTTGATAAGTTTTATTTTTAGATAAGTTTTATTGTTAGATAAGTTTTGTAAAGATATGTTTTGTATGGGCTCCAGAAAAACAATATTGATCAGATAAAGATGTCAAGGTCCCATCCATCCTTGCATCGAGGGTCATTTTAATTACCCTAACAGTCCCTTTAAAATAAAATTCTATCTTTAGGTTTGAGAAAGGACGAGAGATTATTGGAGTTAACAGTCTTGTCCAGCATCTAGTAACAGAACATCATTCAGAGGTCAGGCAATAATAAACTTAAATATGATAGTCTAAAACAAACCTGTTTTTATATTATCTTTTTACCCGTTTCTTAAACTATTGTTTTCACGTAAAACTGGTTCAAATTGATGTGGACATTTTACAGGTTTTCATGCAACATCATGAATATATTTTTTAACTTAAAGACTAGAAGACTAGAAACATACCGAGTCTTTTGTCGTTCTTAAGTAGTAGCAGAACGAAAAAATAATTATTTACTTTTTCAAATACATACATTTCCTAAATTTAAGAATAAGTTTTTATTAACATTAATGGATTAATTATTTTATGAAAACCTTTTTATTTTCAAAAATGAATTTTTATTTAGGATTGGGTTGATGTCGAGTTCGAAGCCGAGAGAAATAAATTAACACAAATACAAAGAGATATGGAGAAAAGGTTAATTATTTTTTTTTTTAAAAGGGACTGTTTTTGTCTTTCTCAAACTTTCTTCAATACTGATCAATCGTAGACGTTTTCACAGATATAACAAATCAAAATGTGTCAATTTATTATAATAACAAGATTCTAGATTTTAAAGAAACTATTTCATTTGTAAATTTATCTTTTTTCTTAATTTATTTTGGTATTTGATCCATAGGTAGTTAAATTTATTTTGAAATCTGATCTATCATAGGTAGATATTTTCAATGATTTTTAATGCTCTGAAAAAATTTCAAGATTACAACCTTTTTTGATACTTTTTACTGTAAAATATATTTTTTCCTTCTAAAAATATTTTTTTCCAATTCAGCGACTAAAACCTTCAAATTTGTTTTGCTCCCTGATTTGCTCTATCCAATCAATTCAAGAAATATACTCCGGTCTTTTTTTGGCATTATTAGGCTCTCGTAAATATTTTTTTGGTGGGCAAAATATATCAACTTCTGAGAAATGTAGTACAGTTAACCTCAATAAAAATATGCAGGAAAAGATCTCTGAACTCCCATTTTTTCTGTTAAATGTTCCTTAATTATTGTTTTTACTTAGTATTGCGTAGTAAGATACGAATAATATTATTGTTTAGGTTGGAACGGGAGAGAGAAGAAGCCTGTATAATGGTTCCCAAACTACCAGCTAATTGCCAAACTTGTCAGGTTTCTATAGGTAAAAAATATCTCAAGGGTTTTATTTTCTTGGAATTTATTCCCCTCCCCACCAAATATTTTTTTCCCCGCCCACCTCTAGAATATTTTTTCTCCCACCCAACTTCAGAATATTTTTTCCCCCACCCCCCTTCAGAATATTTTTTTCCCCCGCCCACCTCTAGAATATTTTTTTTCCCCCACCCACCTCTAGAATATTCTTTCCCCCCATCCACATCTAGAATATTTTTTCCCCCCTTTATGTTAGCCATGTGTGCTTGGAGTGCAATTAATTTTATTTGCTGAAAAGGGGAAATAAAGGATAACGGGAAAAATAAATGTTATTTTGGATGAACACTAAATTGGAAAAATTGGAATTTATTTTCTCCTATTTTGGCTGAACCTCAAAATGCTTTTTTTTTGCTGATAGAATCCATTTTTTTTTGAATATTGCTATTTGGATTTAGACAAAATTAAGTGAGAATTTTTTTTTAAAGCGTATTGCAATGTAAAGGTTTTTGCAATTTCTTCTAATTCACAAAATTGAACTTATTATATAGCAAACTTCTTACAATGGTAAGTTGTACTTCAAACACAGTAAATGTTTTATCCTCTTCCAGAAAAAAAATTGTTAAAATAAAACCAATCGCAATTATTTAATTATTTTTTCTTGTTTTGAATTATGCCTCAAATTTTCTCTAATCATTCACTAAACCATTCTAATGAAACCCCCAAAACTTTAGTAACAAACAAGAAATGTACTGCATTTACTGAGAAGAAGTGAGGCCCAGGCAGATTGTTTTTATTCTTGTCTTACACTGCAGTACACTCTTGTGTGAACAAGTTTTTCTGGCTCCTTATGTATGCTTTTTTATCAGCCGTTTTGACGTTTTCGGGATACAAACAAACAAACAGACAGACAGACACCCAGACAGACAGACAGACAGACAGACAGACAGACAGACAGACAGACAAGCAAAGTATATATTTAGATTGTATGAAATGGTCCCAACAGTTTTTTTCTCAGGTTTGCATAAGCTTTGGAGATATCACGTGTTGGCTCACAAGTTTGGAGAAGTTTATTGTTCATCTTGCAACACTTGTATCTTGGGACATCATTATCAGGTAATAGAATCTGTATCTTGGGACACCATTATCAGGTAATAGAACCGTTATCTTGGGACATCATTGCCAGCTAATAGAACCTTTATCTTGAGACACCATTATCAGATAATAGAACAAGTATCTTGGGACACAATTATCAGGTAATAGAACCTGTATCTTGGGACACCATTATTAGGTAATAGGACCTGTATTTTGGCCCTTGGACCATTGTTAACAGGTGTTACTGATTGGTGGTTTACTGGTTTTAAATTATACTCAACTCAAGAAAAATAACTTCAAACATATCTTAATACTTAAGCCTTTTTAAGTCTCAATGTCATTTTTATTCTAGATTATTTAAATCTTGGTCTCAGATGTCGAATATTTTAGAAAGATTTAAATTTCTGTTTGATCAGGAGCACTCTGCTATCTGTAACAAGGAGGACAAGGATAGGGTTCGGGTCAAGGTTGAAAAGTTCCGTGGAGAACCCTGGTTTGATAGCGAGGGGAAGAAGATGAAGATCAGTTTCGAGATGAATACTTCCAAGGAGCTGGGCAGACACTCAGTTGCCAAAACTATTGTATTCGGTGAGCCATCGTTTCACAAAATTAGCAGTCTTTTACTGTTGACTGATATTGTTTTATTGATGTTAAAAATTCATAATCATAATTTTTTTTTCAAGTCTCGGAAACAAATTTTTGATCATTTTATTTCTCCAGAGAGCTGGGATATTGACGTACATTTTACAAGTTCATTTTGAAGAGAACCGGTTTTGGTCTTAAAGAACTGGTTTGTTTATGTTTATGTCTTTAGGAAATTGGTTTATTGTTTTTATACCTCTAGGAAACCGGTTTGTGCGTGGGACAGGGTCAACACATGACGAAGCACTTCGTACTCTGAGGGAGGAGATAGAAAGCATTCTCACCGAGGCTAAACGGAAGGTCAACATTTTGCATATTTCAACCATTTTTTATTTAAGCAAAAAAGAAAATGTAGAACATGTTATTTCAACAAAGTAGTTTTTGTTCTCATGCATATTGAATTAATCACGTTAAATTTTGTCCAAAACGTATCTAACGGTTTGAAAAAAACCGAAAAATGAACCCTTGAACGATGAAATATTAAATGTTCTGTGAGAATCACTGAGTGGTTTGATAGATTGGAAGCCTTCTCTTACTTATTTTTGTTAAGTATTTGTTTCTAATTCAACTATGGATTTTTTAATAACTACTACTACCGTATCCCTGATACAGGTTGAGGAGGATAGGAAGGAAGAACTGGAGAAGGAAGACAAGGAGAAGCTTCTAGAACTATTTAGAAAACTAGCAGCTGTTGATAAGGTGAACTTCATGATCAAAATATTGTCCTATCCTTACTCTTTGAAAAGAAAATTCTTATAATGACGTATTGTCAAATACTCATCTTTAACTTTGTTACTAAAAAGCTGATCTGTCCTATCCTCCCGCCCTTTTTTATTTCTTTCTGTTGCACAAATTTAACTATATATTTAGCACTTTCTGGATGAAGAAATCAGTGAGCTAACTTCTTTGTTTCTCTTAGCTGTAACCTCGGTACTGTGACATTTTCGGAGGGTTGTGTCATATCATGTTAGAAGCGCCAGTTCTTTTTTTCTACCCAACAAACAATAGTATTTCATATTTTCAAAATATGGTACACGCTGAAAATCCGAATCAGAATAAAACTGATATATTTATATAATAATCTGGGGAAAATATCTGGAAAATAAAGAACAAAAGTGGTTCATTTGAGATAAACTGGTCCATCTTAGACAAAGGCATATTATACCATCCCACCATCAAATCTTGTAACCTGTGCAACCTGGAAAGAACATACATCCTAAAATCTGTAACCTGTGTAACCTGGAAAGGACATACATCCTAAAATCTTGTAACCTGTGTAACCTGGAAAAGGACATGCATCCTAAAATCTTGTAACCTGTGCAACCTGGAAAGGACATACATCCTAAAATCTTGTAACCTGTGTAACCTGGAAAGGACATACATCCTAAAATCTTGTAACCTGTGTAACCTGGAACATACATCCTAAAATCTTGTAACCTGTGTAACCTGGAAAGGACATACATCCTAAAATCTTGTAACCTGTGTAACCTGGAAAGAACATATATCATTAAATCTGACCACAACTTTCCTTTAAAGAAAAGATCGGAACTCCTGGGAAAGTGAAGACTTAAGAGAAGTTTTTGCCCACAAACTGGTGATAAGATATAATTAATTTGCTGTGATTAGATGTATATTTTTTTTTGTAAAATCCTATTTTTTCAATAGTTTAATTTTTAAAAATTCCCTAAATTATTTTAAGAAATCACCAAATTAGTATCATGAAGAATTCATAGCATGAAACATAATGTTGATACAATAAAACTTCAAATACTTATACTTATTTTTTTATAATAAATATCTTTATATATATAATATATATAATATATATAATATAATATATAATATATATATTTATTTTATTTTGATGTTCAGGAGAATGAGGGTAATGTTTATAGCCTTGAGGTTGGAGGACGTGTAGTTGATGTTAGAACAAGACTTTATCACACCAAGGCCGGCAAGTGTAAGATCATGGCATCTGCTGTATACTCGAACCAGTTCTTGTTTGCACTCGGAGACAATCGTCTTCACTCGGTCCAGCTGTTGGCGGAGAAGGTTGCGGAGCTGCATAAAATTAACCCGGAGAAGGAACAATCTCAAGACAACAAGTAAAATATTCTTTATCACACCACTTTATTTCGGGTGACCAATTTTATAAAATATACAATCAAAATGGCAAGTTTTTTTTCCATCTTAAAGGCTTTAAATTTCTAATTATAAAGTGAAAATGGTGATGAAACAAGAAACTTCTCATTGAAAATAAAGGGAATGGTTTTAGGAAAATACGAATGAATTATCATGTTTAAACCTTACTTTTTTTAGGGAGTTCGCATGCACTGACTGTAGTTCAAGATTCAAGAGAAAGCGAACCCTGGAGCTACACCAAACCCAACCTTGCAAAATTTAGTTTTGATTACACAATCAAACTCATCCTTGCAAAATTTAGTTTTATAAATTATCAAAACCAACCTTGCAAAATTTAGTTTTTAATGTAAAAACAAATAATACTAAAATGACCTCAAATAAATCCAACCCTGCAAAATGTTACAAAATATCTCCTGTTTTTAATTATTTTTATTTTACTTTTCCTTCTCCTTGCAATACTAGTCTCTTCCTACCCCTAAACTATATCCATGGGCTAAGCTGCAATTTTTTTTTAATTTGATTTGAAAATGAAACCTTTCCCATCAACTTCACTGGAGTTATACAGTAAGGTAAGAAGATCATTATCAATTGATAAATATTTGTAATTAAGGTATACAAAGTATAAAAATATCTCTAAATTTAAAACTTTTGCTTTTACGTAAAATGTTTCTCTAATTTGTGTTACAGTGTGTCCCACGAAACATGACAGTAGCAAAATGACTTAAAAGTCTTCTTTATACTTATAATTTATTTGTGGCATCGAGTCGTCAACCTAGTTTCACATGTATGATTCTTGAAATAATAACCACACAACTCTCTTAGTCCTGGCATTTCCAAAATGTGGTCTGGCTTCTTTGTGTTCTCAATATTACCAGAGATATTAATAATTTAGTTCCGATTTCAATTTTATTAAATAAACCCAAAATTGTCGAAATCTCAACGAAATTCTTCATTACTCCGGCATAAAAAAGGCAGACCACATTTTGGAAATGCAAAGACTAGGATTATTTTGAAATTGTTAACCTTACTTCTAAAAAAAGTTTACGGAAAAATACCGCAAATTATTCAAAAATCAAAGACGACCTTCAATTCGTCTTGCTACTGTCATGTTTCGTGGAACAAATTGCAAATTTTGTTTTACCAATCTTTTAAATTCTCAGACGTTCATATAAGATTCTTATCCATCTGAATAAAAGAAGCTGTTCGTGTAAAAAATTGGGTTTTACTTTCTTAAAATTTGTTTTTGTTTCCTTTAAAATCATTCGTCTTCCTGAAAACTTTAATTATGCCATTTTCAATATCAAATAATTCAGTTCCAGGAAAAAAAATAGACAACCCTATTAATTTTACAAAACAATTAACAAAGAAAGAGCGAAATATTAAAAAATGTATGTTATTCAAATTAGTTAAAAACTTATAATCCTATATATTTCACAAAACAACATAAAGAAAAAGTCTAAAATGTTTGTTATTCAAATTAATTAACTTAATAATCCTATATATTTCACAAACCAACATAAAGAAAAAAGTCTAAAATGTATGTTATTCTTTAGTTCAAAACTTAATAATCCTATATATTTCACAAAACAACATAAAGAAAAAGTCTAAAATGTATGTTATTCAAATTAATTAACTTAATAATCCTATATATTTCACAAAACAACATAAAGAAAAAGTCAAAATGTATGTTATTCAAATTAGTTAACTTAATAATCCTATATATTTCACAAACCAACATAAAGAAAAAGTCTAAAATGTTTGTTATTCAAATTAGTAAAATTGACGAAAAGAAAAACATGAAGTGGGCTTAATTTGTATTCCTCTATTTCATGTATTGTAAATCCCTAATCCCTAGACCAGATATCTGTCTCTTATATATTAACCCTGATCCAACTGAACTCAATTTTAAAAGTAATCTGAACATTTTTACGGAATTGTATTAAGAGGCATAGATTTTAAAATAATATTTTTTTTGACCTAAGCTGTACAAAACATAGAACAATGACTAGTCAAATAAGGCCAAAGTGCACTTAGAGATACATTAAAAAAGAATCAGTAATGATTGTGAAAATTGATGGTTGTTAAAATATTGTATGTTTTTTAGTAATTATATCATATCTGTAAGCTAAATACAAAAACATTATCGAATGTTTGTTATACTTGAATTAGTCTGAACTAAATGGAAATCAACCGGTTTAATTTACTATTAAGAATGATCAAGTCGTACACTAAGTTCTAGTTTATCTAACCAGATTTGATGCATCATTCAGCTAGGAAAGTGCTGACGGGCGTGATGTCTAACTCCAGTCGTGGTACTAGGGTTGCTATAATAAATAAATGTGTGGGGGGGGGGGATGCAAGAGCAAAAATTACAATAAGGATTGAAAAGCCAAACTAGTTAAGTATACGGAAGAAATTCTTTATCTACTTTTATCTAGAATGTATAATTTAACACAAAGAAATTGTGTACGACCAGTGTACAAATGTTTTGTTTCTTTACTGGCCGTTTCCTTTCAAGTCCCTCTTTCATAATATCTTATTTCCGGTGAGTGCAGTTTAGAGTGAAGGGGAGACGCTAATAAATTTCGATTGATATTGAAGTAATTTTCTAAATCGCAAAACCCTTAAAAAATGTGTGTCCAGTTTAAAATCACGGCCAGGGGTTGAAGGGGAGGGGGTAGGGGTAGGGGTTGAAGGGGAGGGGGTAGGGGTTGAAGGGGAGTGGTAGGGGTTGAATGGGAGGGGGTAGGGGTTGAAGGAGAGGGGGTAGGGGTTGTGAAGCATCCCTCGAAGTCGAATACTCCGATTTCCCACACTACCCCCCCCCCCCCTGCATCCTGTATTGAAGGAAGTGAGATCTAATATTTTCCCAACATTAATTGTGCTGTTCCAGGCACACTCAACAAGATATTAATTCATACTTAATCACACTTTTTCAGTGAATTATATAGTACAAGAAATTAATTAAACTAGGCCTTTTAACAATAATTTCTAGCAATAATTTTATCTTTTAAGTGAAACCTTTTTTTCATTGTTCTCCAAGAAACACAAACTTTTTGGAGATTTTTTTTCTATTTGGATTTGTGTTTATAAAGAATGATGTTGATGTTTTTTGCAATGTTAAATTTTTCAACCTTTCACAGGAGGATTGCCACACAATTTTGTGCCTATTTACATGCTCTCTTCTAATTTAATAAATTACCCCTTGAAGGGACTGTAAAGGAAAAATGAAAGGGTGTATAGGCTGAAAGCAAGTCCGTATAACGTATTGTGGTCATGTCTCCATCTGTATCACGTGACCGCTATACTGCCTAACAATGGTGGGAATTCTGGTGACGTTATACGGCCTTAAAAATAATATCGTATAAATTTGACAGTTTTATATCAATTTCTCGAGATAGGAACATCAGCCAGAACTTTCATGGGTCGCGATCAAGAGCTAAAGTGATAATCTTTCAGCCTATACCCCCTTTCATTTTCCTGTACAGTCCCTTTAAACTTCTACCAGAGGTCTAGAAAGAACGAACCCAGAGCATTTAATCTTAGAAGTTGAAAATAGAAATGTAATTCTCTGTATTTTTTTTTTAATTTATCAATTTTTTAATAATTTCCTCCTAGATTTAACATGTTTAAAGAAAGTGAATCTAAAAACACAAAATAACATCCTCCCTTCCCCTTAGCCGCCCCTTTAAATAGAAAATAATATTCCCCCCCTACCCCTTAACCGCCCCTTAAAATAGAAAATTTGTTGCGATTTAGAAATTCCCAAATAAAAAAATAATATTTTTTTTCGAAAGACTAAAAAAATTATGAAGAAAAATGTTTAAATGAAGTTCTTTTTCCTTTTATTATTGCAAAAAATAGTGTGTTTAGGTTGGAAGGAGGGGGGTGGGTGGTTGTATTCTTTTAATATGTGTTTTTCTTTAATAATTAATAAATTAACTGCTCTATTTATTATTTACGTATTACTTTTTATGGTCGATTTATCAAGGTCTCCCCCATCCTCCCCCGCCCCCACCCTACAGGTTTAAAGCCTCTTCAAATTTACTATTAGTTGATATTTTTCCTTGAAGGGACTTCCAGTTCATAATTTCAAGTGACCTTACATTATGGAGTTACATGCTCGATTCACAATGGTACCCTATCCTGTCATAAACTTTAAATAAGTTTAATGATTTGTAGAATTTCAGAGAAATATTATTAAATTCTAAACCTGTTGAGTTTGAAATTAGCTTAGTAAAAAATAATTTTTGAATAATTTGCGGATTATTTGTGAATGCAAGTCCATAAGTTTACTGCTTTTTTTGCTAGATACATGCCTCTATATATAAATTTAGCTTGTCTGGGTGTCTGTTTGTTCGTTTGTACCCAATAAACGTCAAAACGGCTGAACCGATCGGGCCCAAATTTTTTGCGGGACTTCACTTGTTCCCTGAGAAGGTTTATGAATGATCAATATTTCAAAAATTTGCCTCCAACAAAATACGATTTTTATTAAATTTTGAAAATCCACGACATTTTTTTATAAAATTTTCTCAATTGAAATAGAAGATGGGCGCGAAGCGCCTTGAAAGCCTAGTTCATTATAAAATGATCTTTCGTTTCCTTAACTTTCAGTTTTTATTAAAACTATTAGTATAATCAATATCTACATGCTACAAGTATTGTTAATTCATAAACAAAGAATATAGAGTATATAATTATAATTATAATTATAATTATACGATGTATATTTATTTATTTTCATCAAAACGTTCAATTTTCGACATTTCTTTGTTGAGACGAGTGTACCCATTAATCTACGTGTACTAGAACTAGAATTTATGACGGAGAAAGCTCTGAAGACTTTTATAAAAATATATATTGTTCAGTTCAAGTAAACCTCGATTCTTAGTAACAAGTTCTAACTATTCACCGTAATTCACCAAAAAGTATATATATTTACGATTTGCGTGAAGTACTTGGAATATCTAAAAATGTTCACAAAGGAAAAGATTTTTTGCCACAAACTCTGATTTTTAAGACCCAATTCTATATATTTGCAACTCAATATATTGGACCTATAACTTATTATTCTGTTAGACGAAGTTCTTTATTGATCCTTACATTAATTATTATAACAAATTTGATACAAGATTAAAATATAATTTTACATGATAATTGTTTATTTTAAAAAAGTTACTTAAAACTTTAGAGGGATTTAATTTGATTAGAAAAGCTAAACTTACAAATTTCAAGATAATTTTTGTTCTACGAAAATTGTAAAAAAGTTGAAAATGTTATTTTATCAAATAAATGACAAGATCGAATGAACGACATGAATATGTAAACCAAACTTTGAGGACAAGTTCTAAAAACTTAAATGTCGAAAAATGCCGAATATAATGTCATCCTCTATAATATTCATACACTAAAAACATGCTTTTTATTCTAAAAGATGATTCTTGGATTTCATGATTTTTTTATAAGAACTGCTTAGTACTAAGAATAAAACTTCCTAAATGTTACTTTGCCACAAAGTTCTACATCTGAGCACTTTTAACGATTTAAAAAATGTATAATTTAATAG